GGGGGGGGGCGCGGGGGCGCGGCGGGGGGGGGGGGGGGGGGGGGGGGCGGGGGGGGAAGAGGATGGAGCCCAGGCAGCACCTCTGCTCTCCAACGCGGGGAGACACAATGTAAACTGCACCTCACGCAGGAGGGACCTCCAAGTGTCCACCTGCCCCAGAGCTGGCGCCCAGCTTCGTGCGCCCTCCGACTTGCCTCCTGGGCCGGGATTTCACGGCCGCGTGTCGGTGGCTGAGCGTCCACACAGGGAGGCCATGCCCCTGAAGACCCTCAGCCAGGACTGGCCTTTCTCACGTTGTCTCCATTTCCTCTCCGGGCGCTGGGGCTCGGCTCCTGCGCTGAACTCCTCACCGAGAGCCGGCCCTGCTCCCCGAGCGCCCCTCTTACCGGCACTCATCATGCATTAGTTTATCTTCTGAAAATATACTTGGAAGGGTTTTTGTTTTGTTTTGTTTCCCTACTTGACACTCTTGAATAAAATAGGCCATTTATCTCTTAGGCAGAAGAATTTCAACAGTTACACTGCACCCTGGCAAGAGGATTGTAGGCTCAATGCAGAGAGGTAGTTAAAATTTTTTTTTCATCGCGGGTTTATTCTTGTCTCAGCTTTCCCCCCCCCAAGCTTTGCAGCTTTTCGCCCCTCTCCCTAACTAATCCTCCCAACTGCACACCCCTCCCTCCCCCCCATGGATCCAGCCCACCTCCAGCTCCTCAGACTGAAAGGAGCATTCATGCCTGGGCCATCTGTTTGTTTAAACTCACCCTGTGTTAGTCCATGTTAAATGCAACAGAATGGAGAAAAATGCAATTCTCTGTCGGCTTTTGATCAAAGAGAACTTTAAAAAAAATTCGAGGTGGATTTCTGAAGGACAATGTTATACACATTCCGTGTGTTTCTGAGCTTCAGTGTTTAGTTGATTTGGGGGGGACAATCTCCCCCCCCCTTTTGATCCCAGGGAGAAAAACTCGCACAAAAACACATCTCGGCACCACAAACATCGCAAGACGGGCGCTTTCTTTCCGACTTCCCAGCTGAAAAGTGGAAGGACATTGCCTTTTAATTCATCAACAACACGAGGGAATTTGAAATATGGCTTGACTGCCGCGTGCAGACTTTTGCTTGCTCCTGTGAGAATTCCAGGGGAAGTCACTCGCGTCTGGGGCTAATTCAGGACCCAGGATGCTCACCCCATGGCTCAGAAACACACACACGTCCATGCTCACTTCATCGATCTCCATTTCACGACCACTCATTGCGTGTACATTTCTCCCCTCACTCCCTCAGCTTCGGAGCAAATGCAAATAAAACGCTTAAGATGGTTAACATTTCCTGTCACTGAAGGCATGCATTAGGGGTGGGGGTCGCTGAGTTTTAAAGTGGATTTTCATAGGAAAACTCACTTCAGATCTGCGGCAGGAACTCGGATGGGTTCGCACAGAGAACTTCGGGGTTTGCGATAAGCCTACATTTATTACCGTCATTCAAGTGATCCTTGACAGTACGTGGATGCCGGAGAGCAAACATCCAATTCGAACTTAGATTAACCTGGGGCCCAGCTCAGGTCATGGGAAAAAAAAAATTAAAATGTGTTCTTTCCCCCCCACCCACCTTGACTCATTTTCTTTTTATTGGAGGGGAAAAAACCCCAACCTAAAATATGGTCTTTTAATTTATTGTGTTTTCTCTATTGATTGTTTAGCTAGTGATTTTGCCAACTTCCTGGATGTTCGTTTCTGGTCCTGCACCAAACAGCCACATTTCCTTTTGGAGCCGGGACCAGGACAGAGGCGGCGGCAGACACGGGACGTTGTGAGTACTCCGTGGTCCTTCTCCCGCTCGCCCTGACCCCGTGTCCCCTCCGGTCCGTCCTGCCTCCCTCTCTTTATCTACCAGTTAACGTTCCCGGAGCTCGGAGCTCGCCCGAACTCACGCTGCCAGCCCTCAGCACCACAGTCTCCACTTTGAGGGAAAGAGACTACAACTTCCACACAAACATCGGCTAGGAGAGGGGGTGGTGTGCTTACCAATTGCAGTGCCTTCAATGTTCATTTTAAGGTTCCGAAAGATGGAGAAAGTAAACAGAAGCAGGCTGGTTTATTTCAGGGGCTAACAGTGAGTCCCTACTGGATTTACCTAATAAAATACATTTAAAAAATTTTCATCTTCTCATTTCGTTCCAGCAGAGAATTAGTTTGCCTTTATAATGTCCAGATCTTTCAAACTCGAGCGAGTCAGAAATTAAGTTACAAGATGTAAATACTTTGAGATCTATATGAAACGAATATATCTATATGAAATGAAGTAATTTCTGACTGTCATGCAATAGCAAGCCTGACTTTAGGCTCTTAGGACTCTTATAATCTTTTTCTAATGATGTGTCATAAGAAAATACCAGATTGAGTAAAAATGTTTCTTTTAAAAACAAGTGAATTGTGATATTTAATAAATTTAATTTTTATTTAACGTAAGTTGTCTATTTTTAAAAAAATCTTCTGAACATCTTGTCAAATGTTTGGAAGATTGTAAAGAAAACATATGTTAATATTCTGGGCCGCATTTGACTTCTTTCTTTTCCATGAAACCATTCCAAGGAGTATGGGAAATTGTAAAACGATGTCGTTCTCTCGTGAAAAGAATACCCTGGCTCTAATTGCCAAGAGAAAGCAATTAATGCTCAAATTTCAAGGCGAATTCGGTGACCAGTTAGGGGCAGGAAGAAAGAGGAAAGCAAGACGGTTATTTGCGTGAGAAAATCCAGAAATCAACATTTGTAATTGTAGATGTATAATCGGAATGTGATTATATTTATAAGGAAAAGTTACATAAACTTCAAAAATGGTAGTTGTTTTGCTTAAGTGCCTGAAAAAAAATTAAAATAATATTTGGGTTATCCCAGTTTTGTACTCGTATGTTCACAAAGCCTTGTTAGGTTAAAGAACTCCAAAGGACTGGGGTGTGTGTGTGTGTGTGTGTGCACTTTCCTTAAGCTCCCAGCCCCAGGAAATGTGTGGAGAAAAAGGTAGGAGCTGACTAGTGAAAAAACCCTTTTCTCCAGAAATTCGTAACTAATCTAAAACTTTAGAAATTAAAAATAGCACATTTCTTACTCTTTTTTTTTCTTTTCGGTGGTTGTTGAAGGGGGTGATGGGCTAGAGCCAATTTTCAAAATTGTTACAGACCAGAGTTGTACAAAAGGTTATTGCCATTTTCCTTCACTTTCGATTAGAGTATTTTGTTTTTGTTCTCCTGTCTCTGAAACTATGGCATTCTACACCTTAAATATATTTTTTAAGCTTTCTAATTTGGATTGCCGAAAACAGAAACCTTTGCCTTCTTAGGGAAGCTGAGCTGCTATCCAGTAGATGGCGATGTTACTTCTAGAGTGATCGAGCGGTGGGGGGTGGGGAAAATAGGTACTGAGATTTAGCCCCAATCCAGTCAGGTCTCCCCTTTGCCTCTCCGGGAACTCATCCAGTAAGCTCTAAATGTAAGAAGAAAACCTTTTTTTGAGATGCTGCCCAAAATGTGCAAACTCTCCAAGAGTATTTAAAGTATTTAAGCCAAATGTTAATGACCAAAATGTCTCACCCTCCTGAAATGGTCTGATACAGCGCCCAGCTAGAGTTCAAAGAAATAATTCCTGGAAATGTTCAATATAAAAGCTATTTCAATATTTTATCAGTTGCCTGTCTATGTTTTAAGACATAAAAGCTATCCTTACGGTTCTCCTATAATAATTGTGAAGAATGTACATTATAGTATTGCATGGAACTTTATATGCATACAAATGGCCAAGTGAAATCAGGCATGTACAGATAGTGACATCAGAATCTCACCTTCTCAAACAGTGTTTTCTTTCGATGTGATGAATATGTGTGAGAATATCCACACTGGACATTGTATTTCATTGTATCAGCACCTGCTAAACAGTATCACCAGCTACTTAGAACTTTTAAACCTCATCTCCCAAAGTTTCTACTTTATTTCCCAACTCCCCCACATTTTTCTATCCCTATCTCTTGCAAAAGAGAATCCCAAAGAATGTTGAGGACTTTCTTCAACATATTTAATATTGAAATTAAAATTATTTAACACATTTTTTGATGATTTTAATGTTTTGACTCTTCATGGAACATGATTCCATAATTTGTAATAATTTGCCATGTTGTTTTTAATTTAAAAAGAAAGAGCACGTGTTGACAACTATTTTTTTAAAGAACTAATTCAACAAGAGCAAGTAAAGATATTTCTTTTCCTAAAAATGATATTATCATTTGTCCTTGAAAAAAAAAAGATGGAAGAGGGATTCATTAGATTCCAAATGTGAAATACGATTTAAAGACATGGAAATCTGTAAATGTAGCGGAGTACAGTGACTGAATCATGTATGGCAGTAATTAGTCATGTATTGTTCTTTAAAAATTAAATTGAAAGACATGCCAGCTATTATACCTCTATGTATTTACAAACTCTGCAAGTCACCCACTGTTCATAACTCAAATCAATGTATTAATAAAATGATTGTGCAAAAAAAAGCAGCTGTTTAAATAAATTCTGTTCTGCTTTAAAGATTTGTCTTCTGGGGAGAAAGTCTTTTAAAAATTGAGTGGCAGTGACCATTGAACAATAGTTAAAATGAAAATAAATCTTCCTGAGACTCAGTTCTAATTTTCTTGAGCAAGATACTAACCCATAGAAAATAAACATTGTTTGTTGAACCATGCGTGTATCAAGTGAACCTCTGTAAAATGATATGGAGAAAATATGAACTTGTATGTCCCGAGTATTTTGGTTCCCTGCAGAACAGAGAGGTATGTGCTGTGTAGGAAATGAGCAAGATAAAATGAGCAATTCTGGAGGGAGATCCATTCAGATTTGTGCAGGTCCAGGGAGGAGAACATATTAGAATGAAAACAAAAAATGTTGTGTCACTTGGCACCTTGGCTTAAGGGATAATTTAATTACATCGTCTATTAATGTTGACTTACGTTTCTGCTCTTGCCAACCTTCTTACAATCTTGTTTATTTCCAGCAATCACGTTGGTGACAGCTCTAATAGGCCATTCAACAGCGAACGTTTTCTCATTTAGTTGAAAATATTTCAGGTTTCAGAAACCCAGCAAGGAAAAGCACCTTCAGGCTTCATGTATATGAGTAAACTAGTTCGGGGAAAGATTATTTAACAGAATGAATTCTATCAGCCTATTTAACCAATTTCAGCTTAAAATATTTTTATGTTTCACTTAGCCAAGCAGGCTGGTAGGACCTTAGCTGATGCAAAGATTATTCCGTCTTCTGGGCTGTGTGTGTGTGTGTGTGTGTAAGGGTGGAAAGTGGCCCCGCACCATCTCTGCATACGGGTTACAGAAACAGCAGGGAGGCCTGCGCAGCCAGCAAGCGGGTCAGGAGCACATCACTGGCTCGGAGCGATGGCGTGCTGTTGCGGATTCTGGGTTCTGTATTTGTAAACTTTCCACTTTCTGTTTTTTGAGAAAAGTCACATTTGATCTCTGCCAGTGAAGGTGGGGAGGCAGAGTTGCTTCCCTCTTAACAGCTGAATGCAATCAGGGTGCTTATTTTCTGTTGTGTTTTAGTTAAAAGGTACAAGAGGAGAGGAAAATACACCCAAACAAACCAGAAGACACATTTAGCATCCAGTCTTCAACCCTAAACAGGCTGTGCTGTCAGTGGAGGGAGAAAGCCTGTGGGATACCATGCATTTACCTCCTCTGCCCCCACCCCCCAAAGTTCTCCGGGAAGGAGCTGGGGAGCCATGGGGATCCCTTTAAAGCAGTGGTTCTCAACCTGTGGGTCGAGACCCCTTTGGGGGTCGAATGACCCTTTCACAGGGTTCGCCTAAGACCATCGGAAAACACATATATAATTACATATTGTTTTTGTGATTAATCACTATGCTTTAATTATGTTCAATTTGTAACAATGAAAATACATCCTGCATATCAGATATTTACATTATGATTCATAACAGTAGCAAAATTACAGTTATGAAGTAGCAACGAAAATAATTTTATGGTTGCGGGTCACCACTACATGAGGAACTGTATTAAAGGGTCGCGGCATTAGGAAGGTTGAGAACCACTGCTTTAAAGGGTCCGCTAGCACGTTTAAGCTGCGTGTCAGGAGAAAGAAGACTGAGATCCTTTGTGCAAACAAGTGCCAGGAGCCCAAATCCCTGCCTGTCTCTCAGAAACAAGTTTGCAGCGTCTTCTGAGCTGTTTTGAGAAACACCGTTCGATGGCCCGGCCGTGGCTGCAGCCGAGGGAAGGTGTCCAGGCGGGAGCAGTGCGAGGGCTCTGGGCATGCGTGGACCCTGCAGCGAGGCGTGGCCGTGAGGGAGGCAGCGCTTTCCCGCCTGGGAGCAGTGCAGGGTCACGGAGCAGGAGCCTTCACAGTTCCCAGGGCCTTTGCGGATGTGGCCACAGATCCATCTGGGCAGGGGCTCCAACAGCAGCGCCTCGCTGCCATTGGGCGACGCAGCTCGCCCTGCTGTCCCCGAGCACCCACTCTCGGGGAACAGTCATCTAGGACACAGCCTGTTTTTTTTAATCCTCACCTGAGGATATGTTGTTATTGATTTTAGAGAGTGAAGAAAGGGTGCAGGGAAGAGAGAGAGAGAGAGAGAGAGAGAGAAATGGGTTACCTCCTGCGTGTGTCCTGACCGGGGATTGAATTCCAAGCCATTTGCTGTACAGGACGATGCTCCATTACAGGGCAGACACTCAGTCTTTCAACCAATTCCTTAGTCTTCCCTGCCTAGAGTCTAAGCGTCAGGCTTGTCGCATACTTACGGCAGGTGGTATTTATCCAGAGTCTGCAACGTGCCAGGCATCACATGGGACAGCAGGAGGGCGCCTCCCAAGAAGTCGCCAGGGTAGGGGCTGCCAGAGTCCCTATTTGACCATTGAGGGCACTGAGTCCCGGAGGCCTAGGGGAGCCCCAGGGTGGCACCCCTGGCGTGGAGGGGTGGGGAGGTCTGGGATTTGAATCCAGATCAGTGGGTCACAGGCCCCGCATTCTTCACCAGGGCCTCTGTGTTTCGCTAAATCAATGTCTGTTGAGTGAATAAGTGAGCGGGTGGAGTTGGGCAGATTTGGGTTCAAATAGGGCTCTGCCCTCCTTTACTGGTGACTCTCGGTGGGTTCCTTACATTTTCCGAGCCTCGGTTCCTCCTACATAAAATGGAGCTAGTAACCTTTCTTTTTCAGGTTGTGAGGATTCGAGATTGTGAATGAAAAGGCTGGGCCTGTGGAATATGCTATCTCTGGGTCAGTTCCCAGAAGCCCAGAAATGAATGGCCAGAGCGGCCACCGGACATCGCTTTTCAGCCACCAGGGGCCACCGGGCATCACATCTCGGCCACCCACAAGCCGGGCGACCCTGGGTGAGTCTCTTGAACATGCTGGGTCTTGGTTTATTTTTCTTCCGTCATGGAAGGAACGAGAGCCGGGCTGTAGTAAATACTAAATAAATGTCTGCTCAACATCTCCGCGAAGCGCGTCCATGTCCTCGGCTCTCCTGTGGGGCCTTGCTGTGGAAGGTGTGGTCAGGAGCAGAGGGTCCGCAGCGCCTGGAGCGGGTTGCAAGTCTCAGGCCCCGCCCAGAGCTGAGTCAGAACCAGGGCTTTGTGAGCACTGCCTGGGGCATCCGCGAGACGAGGCCACCTGTCCCCGAGGCGGTTGCCCAGTGTCCACTCTCTGTACCTGCCTGCCCTCAGCCCCCACCTGGTGCCTCCCAGGCCACTCTGCACGCAGGGGCCGAGGGCTGCAGTCACAGGCTGGTAGATCAGCACCCAGTGTCTGGCTGCGTCTGGCTGTCTGTCTGGGGAGAGGCGCTGGGGAGAGCCGGGAGGGAGGGCTGCAGGAGGGAGGGCTGCAGGAGGGAGAGGCGCTGGGGAGAGCCAGGAGGGAGGGCTGCAGGAGGGAGAGGCCGCAGGTCTCCTTCCTCGCCTCCTGCTCAGTGTCTAGGCCAGCGGTTCTCAACCTGTGGGTCGCGACCCCTTTGGGGGTCGAACGACCCTTTCACAGGGGTCGCCTAAGACCATCGGAAAACACATATATAATTACATATTGTTTTTGTGATTAATCACTTTGTGGTAATTATGTTCAATTTGTAACAATGAAATTGGGGGTCACCACAACATGAGGAACTGTATTAAAGGGCCGCGGCATTAGGAAGGTTGAGAACCACTGGTCTAGGTGGTGGAGCTGCTCACACGGACAGGCTCTCCCTGACCCTGGCTCCCCTCTGTCCCTTCGGTTCTGGGGTGCTAGCCGCTTTCTGATGCTGCTCAGCCCCTAGGATCTCAGCTTCTCCATCACCAGAGCAACTGATTCCTTGTATTGAATCCTCTCTATTTTAAATACTCAGAGAAGTTTCTGTTTTTCTTGGTGGGATCCACCCAGGTTCACGCTTCAAGGATCTTGGAGTCAGATGGTTTGGATAAGGGTCCCAGCTCTCCCGCTGGCTTGTGCTGCAGCCCTGGACAAGCCTCTCTTCTCATGCCCAGGGGAGGAGCTGGGCTCAGGGCTGGCCCCTCCTCTCTTGCTCCAACACCCCATCTGGCCCTTGCCCCGGCTTTTCTAACCTGTGGTAGGTGGAGTGCTTAAATGGCCTTAGGTCTTCACCCCTTCCTGGTCCACGCCCTTTGTCAAGGACTTTGTAGCTCCTTCTACCAAGAGGTGGGTAGATTTCTTGTCCCTGGACTCTGGGTTTCACCATCTCACTTGCTTTGCTCAATGGGCAGTTAGCAGACATCACACAAACGAGAGCTTGGAGAAACACTTATCTGTTTCCACTAGTGCTCTTGAGCCTCTGCCATCAGCACGAGACATGCCTTGTTGGCCCGAGGGAGGATGAGAGGCATGCAGAGCCTAGTCGCCCATTCCCTGCAGTGGAACTCACAGCTGTGTGAGCCGATTAGCCCAGCCAGTGTCGGCAGGGACACCTACCTGACCACCCCAGACGCACAGGCATGCTATTCTCATTTGCCATGAGTTCTGTGTTTTTGTTATGCAGCATGAGTGTAGGAAGAGCTGACGGATACATCATTGGCAGGGTGATGAGCAGCTCTCTTCATGTTGTCCCATGGCATATGGTCCATGTGTGTGGACAGGTAGACCTGGATTGGGACTCCAGCTCTCCCACTTTCTAATGGGTGTCCTGGGGAAAGTGTGTTTGTCTCTGTGGGTCTCCGTTTTGTCCTCAACAGAATGGAGATAATATTAGGACTTACCTCAGACGTGGTTGTAGGGATTGAGATGATGTATACAAAGTACCTGGAACATAGCACTGGTTAAAGGCTATCATTGTTGGAAGCAGAATTCACGTTAATGTTATGTTATAAAAACCAACAACAACCATGATCTGCCTTTGCCCTCTCTCTCTGCTCCCTGACACATACCCTGACTTGCCATTCCTCAAACACCCCCTGTTCTCTTATGCCCCAGGGCCTTTGCATGTGCTGTTCCTTCTCCCGGGAGTGCCGTTTCCCTCCCCTCCAGCTAGTGAGTCTCTTTTCTTTAAGGCCCCACTTAAGTGGGACAAGAACTGAAGAGTAGTTATCTGAGTATTTCACTGATCAGTCCTGTCCTTTGGGCTGTTATACAGGGGTGGAAAAAGTAGGTTTACAGTTGGAATACAAATAAATAATATAATGATTGATAAACAGTAATATAAGAATAAACTGTTTGGGGTACGGACAACTGTAAACCTACTTTTGCCCTCCCTCTGTGTGTGAGCATGTTCTTCATGTAGCTGCAGGGTCAGCTGGAGGCAGCCGTCTCTGCCACCGTGGAGTGTGAGAGTTCACTCACACCGGGGCCCACAGGATAAAACACTCACCAGCCACATTTCCCCCCGAGATAGAAGGACAAAGCTCTATGGCAGAACAAACACCGATGTGGCAAAACAAAGCCTTGTTTTATCAGTTCTCCAAATATAAGTTCACTGGGAAACTACCTCCCGCCTCCCCTCACGGACTCAGCTGCCCAGTCAATGGGCAGCGCGTGTTTGTGGAGCACCCGCTCTGTGCCGGGCTGGCTCTGAGTTTACGGCTGGGAACAACAGGCAGGGCCGTTTCTGTCCATCAGGGGGGACAAGAGCCTGGGAAAGTGTTTCAGGGAAGCTCTGAGACGTCTGAGGGGCGAGCCCCGTGTGGGGATGAGCAGATGTGTTCCAGGCACCAGCCTGGGTCAGGGAGCCAGTGGGGGCGCATGGGGCCTCCCAGTGGCCAGGATGAGGCGAGTGCGGTCGGAGAGCCTGGCCAAGGCCAGGTCACGGAGGTCAGGGCAGGCAGCTGGGCAAGACCAGGCAGGTGAGGTCTGGTCACCCCCATTTTACAGACTGAGAGGCCATTTTCATCGGTCACATCTGGGGAGGAAACGGCAGCCTGAGAGGCAGTCTGGGTGTCACATTTTCAGGAAACCTGGAAGCTGGTTTCATCAAGGAAATAAATAAGTGCATAACACAAAACAAAAATAAATAAATAAAAGATTTATTTTGGTGACTAGAGGCGGCATGCCTTTTGGTGTCTCGAAGGAGATGTGGAACATTGATTGGATTCATTGCCACCAATCATCTCAGGCAAGAGGGAGGGGCCTGGGTGGGGACTGTTTCCGTGGAGACGGTCTAACCTCTTTTGTGTTCACTCCTCTGTGATGTGGTGGGGTGGCCGCTCCTTGGATTTGGATGCTCAGTGCATCAGCTGGGAATGTGTTCAGCTGCAGTAGCAAGAACCTAACAGAGGGCAGATGTCTCAGGCCGGGGGGGCTGGAGGTGGGCAGTCCTGGCAGGGACCCCTGCTCCCCACCGTTTGGGCTCCGCATCACAAGGTGAAGGCCACACCTATGAGACTCACGTTGGTTCTGGAAGGATAAAGAGTGGAAGGGGAGGATGCATGGTCTTGTCCTTCTTGAGGGACCCCTTTCCAGCGTCTCACCTCCGTCACATTGGCCGGGACTGTGGACTATGTCGGAAGGATAAAGAGTGGAAGGGGAGGATGCATGTCTTGTCCTTCTGGAGGGACCCCTTTCCAGCGCCTCACCTCCGTCACATTGGCCGGGACTGTGGACTATGTCACCTACCACTCTCCACTGCAAAGGAGTCTGGGAAACTGCATATTTTTAGCCGAGTCCATTGCCAAGCCAAATAAAACCAGAATCCCGTCAACAGGGAGGAATGGGGTGGGGAGCAGATGTGGTTAGGCAACCAGCAGAGGGCCAGCGTGGTCACATCTATTACCTGCCGCTCTCCTGATTCCAAGATGAAAGAGACTTTAAAGGAAAAGAAACACAAGGATGAGATGTTTATCTCTTAGTCTTCTGAATGTTCCACTGACGGCCTCACTAAAAATGAAATGAGTTGATGTGGGGGTGTGCTTGAGAGGAGGCCATCCAGTCATCTGATCACACCCTTGGGAGGCCATGCATGCGGCACCTTGGGGTGCCCACTGCTTCCCTCTCCCTCCTAAAGTCCAGCTCGGATTTTCATAAGTTGCTTCTCTGCACTCAGAGCCTGGCCTGGGGAGGCGGGACGGGTGTCTCTCTGCTTCTGGCTGAGAGCCTCTGCCTCACCTCGCTGTGCTCTGTGGGGCCAGCAGGGCTGTATGGTCTCTGGTAAGGACCTAGATGGTGCGCTGGCGGCTGCCTTTACACCCATCTCCACACATTATATAGTGGTTGGCTCGACGCTAAGTTCTCCTAAGTCAGTGGTTCTCAACCTTCCTAATGCCGCGACCCTTTAATACAGTTCCTCATGTTGTGGTGACCCCCAATTTCATTGTTACAAATTGAACATACTTAAAGCATAGTGATTAATCACAAAAACAATGTGTAATTATATATGTGTTTTCCAATGGTCTTAGGCCACCCTTGTGAAAGGGTCGTTCGACCACCAAAGGGGTCGTGACCCACAGGTTGAGAACCTCTGACCTAGGTTGTGCCTTCCACATCTTGAGAGTGGGCAGCACAAGGCCCCTAGCCAGGGCTGTGGTGGGGGATGAGAGAAGAAGGTGGTTGCAGGGTGGCTGGCTCATGGGAGAGCTGTGATCACCATGGCAACCCAAACCAGGTACAGGCCCCTGGGTGCCAGGGGAGGCGTCTCTGGAGAGAGGGTAGCCTGGCCCCTTTCTCCCCTGTGAGCCTCAGGTCCTGGCCTGTGATGTGGGAACATCCCCCAGGTTCCCCTCCTTGGGTTGCTGTGAATTTTAGAAAGAAAAACATGTCAATAGTTACCATTTAATGAGAGTTGACCACCTGCTAGGTCCTGTGCCCATCCTTTCACTGGTCACCTCTCTCGTACATACCTGGCATCAGGCCACTGTGAGCAGCAGGGATACAATGTCTGCAGAGCCTCTCCAGCCCATGCCTGCGCCAAGCCAACCTC